ACGAGCCCTGCTGAAGGCCAAAGCTGACAAGGATGCAGAAACAGCTGCCGGTCAAATTGCTTTACATGTGGCAGTTCAGAATGGCCACTTGGAAGCGGCGAGGTTGCTGCTGTTCACTGAAGAGGATGTAGATGTGAGCAGTGCAAGTGACTCTGTTGTTGTTGCTGGAGGTGGCCTGCTGGAAGCTATGCGCTTACTTCATCAGGCTGCAATCGGCCAGAGGGCTGCGCTGGTCACCGATCGAGCGGTAGCAGCAGCCGAGAACGGGCTGCCGGAAGTGTTGCGTTTGCTGCGTGAGGTGGCTGGCAGGAATGCAACCTTCCCCACAAGCGGAACTGCAAGTGGCCTCCTATGAGTGCTTGCTTTGGCGATCCGAATGGCACTTGGAAGATGTGAGTTTGATGACGGCTTAGATTTGGAGGGTTCGTCGGGAACCGTGCAGAGTAACCATCTGAGCCAACTGCACAAAACTAGGGGCTGTCCGTGCTACAGTGGCCAATGTTACGGCAAATGTTTGTTTCAGACACGAATCAAGCGTGTGGGGGTTGTCAAGCCTCACCTTTCTTTTGAGGCTTTGTGATGCTACGGAGGGCTGTGCCGCTGGCCAGTTTGTGCAGGGAAATGTCCATGGAGGACCTCCATATTTCACACATCTCAGGATTGTTTTTCTCCACAAGAGCTGAGGAAGGAAGGGTTTTTGTGAAAGCCAAGGTTGCCATAAATTCGTGGCATATTTTGAGCTGTTCCTTTCCCGGAGCAGCACTAACATCCTTGGCCAGGCTTCGCGGTGGAGATGTCACAGGCCCGTGTTTGAGATGTCACGGGTCCATGAGCTGCGCGTGGAGATGTAGAAAAAGAAATTCCCACTCCCGTGTAGATCTTGTGTCAGGACGCTACTAGGGGCTCCTGGCATCTCTACTAGGAACGAAGCTACTAGGGGCTCCTGGCCTTACTACTAGGAGCAAGGACGCTACTAGGAGCAAGGACCCCGTGCCAGATGGTGAATCGCTGCGAGCTGAAGGGCTTGGACTGCGGGGACGCCCAGACTCCAACTCTGTCGATGGGTCTTCGGGTCTCTACGAGCGACGTGTAGGCCGCGATCCACGAATGCCCCCGATAGAAGTCATATTGTAGAGGCCATTCCTATTAATTGGAGGCCATCGCTATTGATTAGGTTGGATTGAGCTCGTTCTTTTTTTTGGGGGATCCACTCCGGCAATGTCCAGCCTCACAGCTTGAGGGTTGAGGCGGCATTTGTGGAGTTGAATGCTTGGAAGAAAGGGAGTTGATTTTGACGTGGAATTGTTTTTCTGCTTCATTCATTTGCTAGTCATTTTGTTTTTCTGGCACTGCTTTTGGCATGTTTTTGCGGCTTCTGGCTCATGTGGTGCACCAGCTTGGTTGTTTTTTTGAAGGGAAGCGCCACCCCCTCCGGGCCCGCCAAGGGCCACACAAGCTAAAGCGAACTTTTGTTGGGGGAGCCTTGGGTTAAATTCTTAAGGAGAAACTGTTTTCCTTGCCTTGTTATTTCCTTTTCATTGTTCTCAAGAATCAGCCAGGATAGCATCAAAGTTTATTCAATATCAAAAGACCACAAGACCACAAAACAAACTGTTCCAGATGAGAGAGAGAGATAGAGTCGTCGAGTCTTAAGCCTAGAGAAAATGTGACCGAGAAGTCTGGGATTAGCAAGGGGCTGAGGCCTAGACCATGACCAGTGGCGGCTGAGCACAACCAATCTGCTGGTCACGAGCTCAGACGGAGAACCGTCCTCCCAGTTCCTTGATACGCCTTCCGCCGTCCTCACTGTTCCTGTCGTAGCTCTTCCGCCGGGGCTTCTGACTTTGTGCAGGTCGTCGGACGGCTCCAGTTTCCAGGGAATCCCCCGTGGCGGCATCATCACGTGCGGAGGCCTAGCGTTTTCTAGCTCCATTTCACCCACCTGCCCCTAGTAGCGTCCTTGCTCCTAGTAGTAAGGCCAGGAGCCCCTAGTAGCGTCCTTGCTCCTAGTAGCGATGCCCAGCTTCTTGCTCCTAGTAGTGTGGCCATTTCACCCACCTCAAGCCCCAAAGGCTGCAAAGGAAGTACTGCAATTGTCTGTGGCCGAGGCACATGGCATCAACGAGGCGCATGTGGCCAACTGCTCCCCTCACAATGCAGAGCGATGCCGCTGGGAGAATGGATTGACCAAAGGGACAGACACTCCATGTAGCAGGAGCATCAAATCGGTGATTTTTGGGTGTTGATGGAATTGAATTGGTATCTATATAGGACTTTCACTGAAGTATAGATGGTGGCAGTTTTGGGAATTAGAAAACACTTGCTTAACTAGTAGCATTCGCGCTACCCCAGTCACAAAGGGCATTGCTACTAGGAGCAAAGAGGCTATTAGTAACAAGGGCATCGCTACTAGTAACAAGGGCACTACTACTAGGAGCAAATAGCTAGTAACAAGAAGCTTAACAATCTTAATCTCCACCCATGGCCCGGCCCTCCTAGGGGTTTCTCAGGCCCGGAAGCTTGGAGCAGAGCGGGCCACCCTGGCGGCTTCCATTGTTGCTTGGATTCACTTGGGGCGAACTGACCGCTTTGACTTGTAGCACAAATTGCGCACACTGAAGGTGAACAGGTGAACTAATGCTGAGCCAGCTTGCTTGGAACAGCTGGAAGCGAAGAGAAGAATCTCACGATGCCAGCAACTCGTTCCAACGCTTTGAGCGCTTTGAGGCCTGAAAAAGCTGGAAAAGCAGCCATCTTGGCTGGCTTACCTGAGGCACGAAACGGGGCCCCGAGGTTGATGGAAGACTTGGATTAACTTATCAAATACAATTCATGAACGCGTCTAAACAGCATCATAAGGGCCGCGGGGTGAGAGAAGGGACAGCGCTAAGCGCGTTGCGTTCGAACAAACATGACAGCTCAGTCGAACAAAAAATGACTCTCCAGTCGAACTTTTGGCCGCTGCGCGTTGCCGTAACGCAGCAACATGTTTGAGTCCAACTCACAAGCAGTGCAGTTTGGCCGCTACCACTTTGGCCGTCAGCGGTTTTCGTCATTGCGTTGAACGAACTTGGGGGGGTCCGACGAACACACAGATATGCGTAAACACATCAAACACACACACACACACATATATATATATATATATTACATTGATAGACATTTATTCATAATGCTCACTGTTTGTGGGTGTTTGGAGCATTGTTTGGTTCATTTCTCGTGCATATTTTTGGGAAGGCCCTGTGCTGACTTTCAAAGTGCCTCCTTAAGAACCTATATCCCATCCAAAGAACATTCACAAAGTATGAGGTGTTCAAGGAACAGAACATTCCTTGTGCCAGGGATGAGATGTGGATACAGGATGTGGCCAAAAAGGGTTCGGAATGAGCCCGTGTTAGAAGGACAATTCAACTCAATGACAAGAACTTAAGAAGAGAACCAGCCGATTCGATGTATTTTATTGAGGTAGGGTTGGGGGGGAGGCATTTTAGGTGTAAAACACATGTTCAGGTCAAAAAGGAGATATATAATCGTGCTCTCATCTTTATAAGCATGCTTCCGTGTTGATTGTGCGGAATTTTGTCTTTTCAGGACGTCGTATCATCTCAAGAACCAAGGCTTTAGAATGCTTGCTTTTGAAGGAGCACCCTTCCACATTAAAGAGGACCTTAAACATGTGTGATGGGACCCCAAAAGCGGTTCCTATTGTTTTTACAGGACATCATTTCAAGAAACTGAGAGCCAAATATGCGGACAT